AAGCTGTGGTACAAAAGTACAACCTGATTTATTCTAGCACAAAGGGTTTTTGTATTCTCCGCAGATGGATCAATTAATACTTAATTTATACCATGTCTCATTCCAAGAATGGGTATGAAGCAGGAACCTAGGGTACTGCGTCTCCTGGGCTCAGTGTTGCTATTCTAAATCTTTGATTGTTGGCTGCATTTCTGATAGTTTTTCTCATATCTCCAAAGACACTCTGCATAGCCATTGGCTGGCTTTGCCCCACCCAATCCCACCTGGAAGCCTCCTGTTCTGTGATTACTCTCACTTCACTGGGGCTTGTGAGCTGCAGCCCTAAGCCTGGCTCTGGCTCTAGGGGTCGATGTTGTTGTGGGCTTTGCCCTCCTTGCTTCCTCTCTGGGAAAGGGGTGCATGTGTGCGCTTGGCAGCAGAGCAGTGATTCTGTGGTGTCCTGCAAAGACAGCGGTGAGAGGGTGGGGACATGGCATTGAGCTGGCTCGCAGGACAGAGCATTCCATATTTCTATGGAACAGAGGCCTGAGAAATCCAGGAGAGCAACTTTCAGGGGAGGGAGAAGGCTCTTGGCTAGTGGATCCCACCCAGAGCTCAGCGGGAGAGATCATTATTGCCTCTGGAATGTGTAGCCTGGCTGGGGCCATGGGCCAGAGGGCCAAAGAGCCCCTTCCCTTCCCCCCAAATAATACCCTTGACTTGAGAAGCTCCTGGGAGCCATGGCTTTAGAATTTCTCCTCTCACCTAGACTCCATGACCTAGAGGCAGGCTTTTTTTTTGTTTTTGTTTTGGCCCAAGACCTTGTAGTGGTTGCCGGTAAAGCAGCCACTTTCAAAATTGATGTTGTTTTAAGCCCCGGGACTCTTACCTCTTACTTCGGTGGTGACTTGGGCAGAAGCGTTATGCAGGGTCTCTCCATGTCGGTGCTGGGGACGTCTTTGGCTGATACTTTGTCTTGGGCTGTCTGGTAGCTGGTAGAGTATTTAGCAGCATCCCTGGGCTTTACCAGCTAGATGAGAGTATTACTCTCTTTTCCCTGTTCTGACAATCAACAGTGTCTGCTGACAGCCAAATGTCTCCTGGGGGGCAGAATCGCTTCTTCTTGAGAAGCCTAAAGTGGAGGCGGTTGATTTAAAGTGGGGTAGGGAGCTCAGGGTGCCACTTCTCTGCCGTTCCTCTCCTCTCCCCTCCCCTGATACTGACTAAAGCTGGGGCGTCCAGATAGAGACCAGGGCTGCAGATCCCCGTGGGGGCCACCACACCATGCCCCCTGCCACATTCTGGGCCTCTCTCTGTGCTCTTTCTCCCTCCTCGTCCCACGGCAGGAGTGGTTTGTGAGCAGCCTTTGCAACCATGAGCCAGCCCAGCCTGGGGTCCTGGAACAGAGCTATGAGTTGCTGTCCTGGAAAGGGTTCAAGTGGCTGACCTTCCTTAAAAAATATATAGTTATTGATTGTTTTTCAAATGACAGAACGAATGCTCTATAAAAACAACCCGGACAGCCTAGAAAAGCACAGAAAAGGAGGAGCCACGTGTGATTGCACTAGGCAGAGTATCTGCTGTTTATTCTTAACAAAAACAAACCAAACCTACTCTCATACTTCATCTTATTTATTTACTGTATCTTGTAGAGCTGGCCTTTCCCACTTAAATGCATGCCCTCCCTAATATCTCGCATCAGCCAGCAGAATTACCATAACTGACCTCTCTGGTCCGGTACCAAGCGATGAGTCACAGGAAAACTTGGCAGGCGCCTGCCGATGTCATCAGCAAATGTCAAGTCCCCGCCTTCAGCGACCTGCTCCTCTTAGGAACCTGCACAGACATGGCCTCACTGCCCTCCTTGAACCTGTTTATACATTGCTGCTTGGACCATATTCCTGGAGGTCACAAATGACAGGTTTCCTACCCTTGCATCCTTCTACCACATGGGGTTTTTATTAGTGATGGATGAGCAATGACAACTTCTAGGAGAAGCCCGATGCCATTGTTTAGCCTGAAAACTGAGAAAAGATAGCTCAGCCATTTGAAAGATGGGGGAAAAACAGTCACCAAGACTTGTGCCTCCTCTGTGCCTCACAAGGGCTCCTAGACAGACATACTCTTTCCTCCTTTCTGCCACTCTCAGAGGCAGGTATTTCACATCCCCATTTGACAAGTGAGAAGAATGAGGCACGGACAGGTGAAGTAACCTGGAGAGGGCACAGGGAGACGTAGTCATGGGGTGGGGATGCACATCCTGGTAGCTGGGCCCTAGGCAAGGGTCGGCCACCATTTCCTATGAAGAGCCAGAGAGCAAATAGGTTCAGCCTTGTGGCCCATATGGTCCCTGTAGCAACTGTCCACCTCTGACCCTGTAACTTGAAAGTAGCACAGATGATAATAGATGCATGGTTAGGAACATGGAAATTTGCATTTCATGTGATTTTCAAAGATCTTTTGATTTTTTAAAAAAGATGTGAAAATTAATCTTAGCTCTGGGACTGTACAAAAGTGGTCAGTGGCTTGGATTTGGCCCCTAAACTGTAGCTCTTCAACCACTCACTGTCCTAGAGCCCCAGTCTTATCTTTTCTTTCTTTCTTTTCTTTTTCAGTACTGAGGATTTAACCTGGGGTCCTCACACTGAGCTACATTCCCAGCCCTTTTGTTATGTTTTGTTTTGAGACAGGGTCTCACTAAGTTGTCCAGGCTGGGCTTGAACTTCTAATCCTCCTTCTTCAACCTCCCAGAGTGCTGAGATTACTGGCATTCATCAGTGTAGCTGCTGAGCTCCAACTTCTAGCTGTTAAAATGCTATCCCCTCATTTAGGAAAACTCAGAGAAGCAAAAGAGAAAGTGGGAGCTGTTCTTTTATCTGCATCCGGTTCATCCACTGGTCCCTTTTCTTGCTCAGCTCAGTGTGTGTGCAAGTCGGGGAGGGTTGGTTTGTGGGCCTGAGGGCAGGAGGGCTGAGGTGAGCAAAGTTTTAGAGTGCAGTAATGGTTAACAGCCAGGCCATCATAAAGACACATCAATGGAATGCTAATATGGGCTGAGAAAAATGATTTCATTTATTTAAACAATTTGATCGACAACCTCTTGTTGGGAGCAGCTCCTTGTAGGAAGCGGGACTCTGGAAGTGAGCAGCACGCTGTACAAATACTGCAAACTGCTTTGTAACTGGCACAGCCTATGTCCCGCAGAAGGTGCTGGGGGCACTTAGCGGCTCAGGTGGTCCTACCCCTCCTGACTGTCCTTTTTATCTGAAATGTTGCCAGGGTCTCCTGCCTTGGTGGGATCAGACCAGGCAGACTACCTTGGAGCCATGAGGCTTTCAGGGAGAAGGCTTTGGATTTGGAATGCCGCGCCAACCTGACCACCTGGTCCATGTCCCCAGCAGATGCCAATGTCTCTGCCTGGTCAGCAGGGGCCCTGGCAGAATGTGGAACAAAACAGGCTCTCGGCATACCTCATCACTGTGCAGCACCGAAGTGCTTCCAGAGGCCCTGGCAGCAACAGCCCTGCAGCCTTCTTGGCTCTGGCTGGACTTGGTAGCAGATGGCAGGGCCATGGGTGCAGTGGAGTTAGGAGGAGATGTCTGGGGAAGGTGGCTGTCGCTATTCTGGCCACAGTATACCTTGAGTAGCTCTAACCCAGGGTGAGCTATCACCTTTCTGCACCCTTCACTGAGATGGTCCTTAGACCCCATGGGCACTGATCAGAGAGTCAGATCCCTGGAGGGCAGAGGTGGGCTGTGGAAGCCTTTGCTGAGGTCCTTTGGTGCCTGTGGGACAGCAGGGATATGAAAATGGTCAGCTTTTGCACAGCATTACAGCAGGAAAGGGATGTGGTAATCAATAAAGTAATGGTTTTCAACCTGGGGACCACAAAAGCTGAAATGAGAGATGTTTGTTCCTGGCATTTTCTCAATATTGAGGAACTAACAGAAGTTGAACCCATACCCAGACAAGACTTCTTGTGCTAACAGAAGTTTTGGGTTTCTTTGCTTTGGGCTGGAATTTATGCACTGGGCTAGCTTGCACTGGTTTGTGTCTGTTGATAAGAAGCTCTGGTTAACAGTGATTTATATCATTGGCTAATAAATCTGAGAAGATGAATTAATTATTACTTAATAAGTGTAGTGTACCTGCTAGACACAAACCTCCTTAGAGATGAGATCTCTTAGGAGAAAGGTCTAAAAAGAGATCTTCCTGATGAAAAGGGAGAGAAACTGCTGATCTAGGGCAACCCTGTCCTTTACAAATGAGGAAATGAGAGTCCCAGGGAGTGCAGAGCACTTGCTCAAAGCCACTGCATATCCAGCCTTGGAGACAAAGCTACTCTGGCTCCTACACCTCCCGCCATACTCTCTTTTCCCAACTCCACAGTGCCTCTTGGTCCTTGGGGAGCCTCCTCCTCTCCAAAGTAAGCACTCTAAATCAAGTTCTTGGTTTTCTGAATGAGCTGCTGGTGGACTGGCTGTGGTTACCCATAGGCCGCTGCCAGTGTCTGGACCCTAGTGGGTGCCCAAGCCTGGTGTGTGTCCAAGCCTGGTGTGTGTCCTCCTGGGCTTTTCTACCCAGAGGCCATGCCTTTGGGGAAGCCACACCTACCTTTTAAAAACCTTGTCCTTTGTATTGTCTTTGTGGGCAGAATCTAAGAAAAAAAAAAAAGAGCTTTCCCAAAGGAAAGGGAACAGAGGGGAACTGAGTCAGGAAGACAAGCAGGAAGATTGGGTTTCCAGTGTTTCTGGAGCTCAGGGCGAGGCACTCAGGACCTGTGAATCCACTTAATTCTCACAGCGAGTCTCACCACACAGAAGAAGGAACTGAAGCTCAGGGACCCTTGGTGACTTGGTGGGAGGCTTGGCTGGCATTTGACCAACTCCAGATTCACACTCAAATTGTTCCTTAAAGCCGGTGCTCTTCAGCTGTAAGCCCATGCCCTTGATGTCGCTCCCTGCTGACTTGACCCTGGCCTTTGACTCTGCCTCTGACCCATGTGTCCTCTCCTCCCACAGACACATAGAGAACTGGCGCAGTCTGCACACGCTCAACGCCGTGGACATGGAGCTCTACACTGGACTCCAGAAACTGTGAGCGCACCACCCTTTGGGGAAGGGGTGGGATGTCCCCTGTCTGCTTTTCCACTGGTGACATTCACAGCAAGCTTGCTGTTTGTCCTTTACCTCTTGGAGGTCCTCTTTTGGGAGGGTTGTGCTACCCATTTAGGGGATGTCAGGGCCCTGTCCTCACCTCCCACCCAAGCCTGGATGGGCCTAGTGTTGCATGGCTGCACCCTAAAGTCAGGATTTCAAGGCTGGAGCCATACCCAGACCTGCTAGTCCTTCCTTGGGCCTGGACTTGAGGGAAGGTTCCCATCCAACACTAGATTTCCAGCCTCTTCCTTGGGTGGACTTCAGTATTGGTGGTGATGAGGAACCTGGTATGGGTGGGTAAGAAGGTGCCAAAGAGGCTCTGGCCTGTGGTCACTGGCTGAGCAGGAATCCACGTCCTCACCCACTGACCCAATAAGTAGAGAGCAACTGCCTACACACTGGCTACAGCCCAATCCCTCACCTGGCCCGAGGATTGTGAGCCTAGTCACCAATTGCTGAGCCCCTGCTGGGCCACCCAGGGATGACTGGGGATAGTGAGGTACAGGCCAGGCTGGAGCCTGACCTACTGCTGGTTTCAGCACCCAGAGGACCACTGACTTTCTTTTCCTCTCTGCCCAGGACCATCAAGAACTCAGGACTCCGGAGCATCCAGCCCAGAGCCTTTGCCAAGAACCCGCATTTGCGCTACATGTGAGTAGAGCAGGCCAGGGGTGGTGGGGCACACACAGAGACTTCCTCAACCGTGTGAAGCTGGAGACTTGAGGCTGAGAGTTGGCTCCACCACTGCTGCCCATGGATGGGTGTGGTGATTTTCTTGGGCCTCGAGTTTTGCCTCTTAAAATGAAGATTTTGGAGCTGGTGGCCTCTGAAGTTCCCATCAGAAGGATAAGTCTAGGACCAGGGCTGAAAGGGGGAGTTTCCTGATGACATTTGCAGTTCTATGGGAATAGAAATGACAGGGTATTCTATAAAGTGAATTGTACACTTCTGAGACCGTGTGTGTGTGTGTGTGTGTGTGTGTGTGTGTGTAGAGCTTGGAGAAGAGGAGACACTTGTATAAGGTCACACAGTTCTGTTTGGGACAAGCTGGAGATTATGTGGCAGTGGGTGGGCTTCCTGTCTGTCTGTACCTCCCTCACCCTGTCTCTTCCCCATGCCCTGTCTGATGGGTGGAATGGCTTCTTTAAGGATTGGTGCTAGACCCAGTGGAGGAGAATCACCAGATTTGATGCTTCCTGTTTAAGTCTGGCTCTGGGCTGACAGATGCTGGCATTCAGTGGATAGATACCATTTCCTGGGTAGAAGGTCTGGCAGGTATGAAATGAGGCCATGTTTGAGTGATCACGGGAAATGCCAACGTCCCACACCCCAGGATGGTGCCTGTTGTCTTGGCCAGCTCTCCAGGAGCTCACAGACAGTTGCCCATCTTTGATGTCCAATGGGCATGTCCCCAAAGAGCAAAGATGCTGTAGGAATTGGTTGAGGCCCATTATATTTTGGGAGGAAATAGAAGAAGAGCATGTCTTTCCTTTGGCCACTGGAGAGCTTTACTGATTGCTTGCATTTTATAGTGGGAGGGCAGCTTGGGTGGTTAGAAACCCCTTAAGAAGAAGTAGAGGCCAGGAGTAGGGGGTGCACTTCTGTAATCGCAGTACTTTAGGAGGCTGTGGCAGGAGAATGGAAAGTTCGAGCCCAGCCTGGGCAATTTAGGGACTTAGCGAGACCCTGTGTCAAAAAACAAAATAAAACAAAACAAAACCAAAAAGCAGAGTTGAGGGGGATTGGGATGGGGGTAGGGGAGATGTAGCTCAATGCAGAGGTCCTGGGTTCAATCCCCAGTGCTGAAAAACAAAATGTAGTACAGCTTCCAGGGGGAAGCTCTTAGGAAATAGAGGGTAGTGTAAGAGGGGAAAGGGAAGATGCTAGAAAATTGCAGTTGAGTAGCTGGGGAGTGGTTTCTATTCTGGGTGCTCCTGGCCTTATTCTCGGGCCTCTGTGTTTTCCCAAACACATAGTGAGTGCTTGGTAAATACTCATCAGTTACGGCCACCTCTGCTTTGTGCTGAACTTTCTTTCCTTTCTCTGGAAACAGCAAGCTCCATGGCCACTGCTCAGGGCCAGATGTATTAGCTATGTGGGACTGAGACCTCCCTTTCAACTCTCTGATTACCTTTTGCCTCTTGCCCTGCTGTAGTCTATGTGGTGAGATTTTCCTGATGTGTGTTCTATGTGGCCATAGGCATAGCTGGGCTCCTAGGAGAGCCTTGCACCAGATGTTCCAAGTGTTTATTTTATTTGAGATTTGAGTTTCATTGCAAAATGTCTCGAGAGAGAGAGAGAGAGCTTTGGACATCTGAGAAGGATCCCTTTTCATAGTAACTCATACAAAGGTCACAAGTCACATGTCCAGGGAAGACCAGGTGGGGACAGTGGAGGATGGGGACTACGTGTCCCCTCTGAAGGTGCAGCTATCAAAGCTCCAGCTGACTGCTGCCATGTGGCAGTGGGGACAGTATTGCCAGACTCACTGCTTTTTCTAAGATAAGCAGGAGAGCCTGTAAAACCACCCAAGTTTTAAATGCTAGTAACTGAAAACAAAACCCTTCATGGACCAAACAAAACTGCTCCATGGGCAGAGTGCTAATTTCTGGTGTAGGGTCAGTTTGGGGGAGGGAAGCTGTTAATATGGGAGAAGCTGTGTCCCCTTTGAGGACGGGGTCAGATGCTCATGCCTCGAGGCCTCATAGAGCATCATGCCACCTGCAGCTCTCGGGAAATGGAAAAAACTTCAGTGCCCCTCTATTTGTATGGGCCAGCAAAGTGGGAGTGGGGATGCATCTTGGGCTACAGTTGTCTCAGAAGTGGCTTGCCAGAACATGTCTTTGGCTTGCTCTTGATATCCCTGGAAGAGGCTGTGACAAAGGCTGGTAGAACTTGCAAGATCTGCAAAGCACTGGGGTAGGCTTTGGTTGGAGTAGGGCCTGATGATAGCATGGACTTCAGGCCCTGTTTTCCCTGGACATGTGGCCTGCTCTTGCCCAAGCACTTGCTGTGGCTCTAGGGGTCACTGAGAAGTGCAGGTCATCAGAGTCCACCCTAATTTGGGTCTGGCTGTGCCTGGGAGTCAGCACCCACTGGAAGCACTCTTACAGATACTGTGGGACTCCAGAGAAGCTGAGGATCAAAGAAAGCAGAGTCGATAGGATTCATCCATGGGTTTTATTTATTAACCTTCCCCATTTTTGAAGACACACCCCAAATCCTGACTGAATGAATTTCCCGGCAGCTTTGGGACATTTTCTCCTGGCAAATGGGCCAGGTTTCATTGCTCTCTCACAACATCTTCTATTTCTGTCTTCTAAATGCATTTACAAGTCTTCAGGCCCCAGCTGAGCAATCACAAGATGATCACTTACTCCAACACTAATTGCCAAGCCCTGGCTTGGCGGCTTTTTCTTTTTTTTAGGGTGATGGCCGAGAAGTCTTTCTGTCTCCCTTCTGTACAGAATAAGAAGCAGGAAGTGATGTCATTGCCTCTGTACCAATGTCAAGTTATCTCAAGTCATTCCAATTGGTCCAGCCGTCCTGTCCCTCACCCTTACTTGACCCCTAACATCAGTGGGTGTAATTCTTCCCCATGTCAGAAAATGAGCCACGTTAAGGCCAAGTTGTTTGCTACAAAGAAGACTGGAGATCAGAACTCTTGAACCCTAAGCACTTCAAGGTCTACTTTCTCCTCTTGTCTGCTGCTGCAGCTTTCTCTATCTTTTGTTGGAGTTGAAAAATGAAATTTTGAGTAATATACATACAGGGACATCCTTTTTGAGAGATGGGAAGATTCTTGACCCTTATATATGGATTGAGGATCTGCAGCAGTAACAGCTTCTTCAATTGATAACTGCAGTAGCTATTTGCTAATCTTTAAAGTGGGCATAACAATAGTGTTTATTGTAGGCACAGAATGTGGTACTGATTTAGTGATAGGTACCCCATACAGCACTGAGCCCTGTGCCTAGAAAACAGAACTTAGAAATGATAATGGCTAATAATGATAGTCATTATTGGTGGTGGTGATAATAGAACAGAACAGGAAGGCTAAGGTGACCCCATTTTTTGAAAAAAAATTCTGGAGATTCTGGGTTTCCATCCCGCAGTACAGTCCCTCTCTCTAAAAACTGGTATGGTCACGTCTTCAACTCTGGTGTCTTTCTGCCTTGAATATGGATTTGCTCCCTTGCTGACATCTAGATTCCATGCAGACCCTTCTGAAGGCACTGTTAGTTTCAGACAGGATCTAAGCAATTGCTAGTAATACGCTTACAACGTTCTTTATCTCTGTCTCATTAGAGACCACATCTACCAAGACCATTGAACTTGGACTGTGTGCTGAATCTCCTGAGCCTCTCTGCTGCAGCTGGTTCCAGTCTCCTTTTGTGGGGTTTGTTTTCCCTGGTGTGGCTCACATACAGCCAGATCTCCACCATCTGGGGTCTCTATAAGTAGATACCCATCTATGAACTGCACTCCAGTGATGGCCCTTCCCTTCATCTGACAGGACTTCATGCTCTTCAAAGTGGTTTCTTATTTATTATCTCATTGAATTCTCATACCCATCCTGGCCCAGGGGTGTGGCAGGCAACCTGATGGTACAGCCCAGCAGACAGGCCCTGTGAGGCTCTCACTGGTGCATAGGAATGGAATTGTACCTAGGTCCTCTGATTCTCTTTCTAGGAATCTTTCCACTCTACCTGTGGGCCAGAAGGGGAAATGTTTTTAACAGAAGCACTTAAAAAAGCCTATGATATTTAGAAAATTGCATTAAGAAAGCTAGTCTTCAAAGAGAATAGGCAAAGGCTGAGAACATAGTAATGGGAAGGATTTTGTCCAATGTTTTTGTGAATACAAGCTCACCTACTCCTTACAGTAATGCTAAGAGAGGACTTCTCTGTTCCTACTTGTTGATGAAAATATTGAGATTCAGAAGTCATAGCTGAGTTCTTCTAAGCTCAGTAAGGTCAAGAAACAGTCTGGGTGTGGACTCCAATCCCTTTGACACTAAAGTCTATGGTTTTTTTTATTTTTTATATCCCAGGAGTGTTTTGTCTCTCTGGTTTTCACAGCAAGAACTTCTTATAGGGGGAGCTGGGTTGTTAAAGTTTTATTAGAGAGCTGCTATTTCCTCATGGGGATTTAGCACCATCTATCCTCAAAGAGTTCTGATGAGAAAGCTCTGTTTAGTTTCTTTTTCTATTCAGGTCAAATCCTATAACAACAGTTACATTACAAACTGAGTGTCTTTATTATGAAAGATTTCTTAGCATTGGCCTATGGCCTACTTATTTACAAGAATATTTAATATAAGGTTTTGGCAAGCCAAAATAAGTTATTTAATCCCTTAGAGTTGGTTGTGGTGGGATCTCTCTTGTGTTCAATTTCTTGCTCTTTTCCAAAAAGCTCTAGATGTCAGACTAAACTATTTCTCACTCTGTTATCAGCAAACATGCACTTGATCTTCAGCTAGGGAAGGGGTGGGAAGGTGGGGAATATCCTGATTTGGGCACAATTGTATCAACTATGCTATGTTCTCAAGGAGAGAAAGGCAGCAATGTTAAGGTGAATAGGAAAAGAGGAAGTGGCTAGAGTCCCTACCTTTTCAGGAGAGACTAGCTATGGAAACAATATGAGGTTAT